AGGACTGGATGCTGGCTGGAGACATACGACCACTGCAAGGTGTAGCCAATTCCGACCTGACAGGGAGCCTCAGTGCCCTATCTCCACAGAAACCAGTCTAGCACTGGGATGGGGCCCTAGGGAGACTGTATGAATGTCTCTGGCAGGTATTTCCCATTAAAAACAACCATCAGTGCCATCCCCACTCAGAGCTACTGCCCATCTTCCCCTCTTCCCCCTCAGCCAACATCATAGAATGGCAAAAGTGACTGTACCCCCTATGGGGAAGAAGGGGAGGAAGGGTAGCAAGGTGGCTGTGGCAAATGAGGTACCCTCTGTTGCAGTGGGGCCACTGCTGCTGGGGCACAGAAAAAGGCAGGGCTTCGAGGGTGCTTCCTCCCCTTCTAGAGCTGCTCAAGGTTTGGATCAAAAGGGGATGGGGCCCAGGAAGGCTCTACCACCCCAGGAGGCAGTCACATCCACTGTCTTGGTAGTGGATCCTGCATCCTGGTGTGGTGTCAGGGACGTGGGCCACACACCTCCCTTCCTGGCCTGCGGGACTGTCAGAGGTCTAGGCTGAGAACTCCAGGGAAGACCAAGACAGGGTGGGGGGACAAGACAAGAAAATCTTCTCCAACTTGGCCTCAAAACAGAGCAAGTTCAAAGAAACAAAACCTTGATTTGTACAGCAGGTGCTCCTGGCCAGCTCCCGACAGTGGGTTCACCCACTAAGGGTTGGCCCAGTAAAAAGATGGGCAAAGCTGGGGCATGGCTACTCTCAGGGCAGTGACAGAACTCAGAAAAGTGAGTCTACAGGATACAGGAGAGAACAGCAGAGCCAAAGCCCTGCTGCTCTGACACGTCCTCCGCAGCCCCACGTGCCCTGGGCCCTGACCGCACACCACGTAGGAGCAGCGTCTTTCAGGCTGAGTCCTGGCAGGAGAGACAGTTCCCAGGCAGGTCCCCAGGGAGGGAAGTCTAAAAGGTGTCCCGAAGGAACATGTGAGTGTCCTCTGACGGCCCCCGACTGAGCTCTTCAGGGGTGATGGAGAGGAGACCATCCACCCCTCATGGCCAGGCTGTGCTGCTGTATCCCTTTCGAGAGGGGCCCAGGTAGAGCACCCTAACTGAACAGCAGGAGTGTCAGTAGGAGTGGGGGTCCCCGGGCCCTCAGACACGGTGCATCTGGATGAAGGAGAGGACATCCTCCTTGGATAGTCTGTCTGGGTCCTGGGGCTTCCGGGAGTAGTGTACACGGATGCCATCCCCCCACTCCCAGAAGAGCCGGCCATAGTAGCAGATGTGAAATGGGGCAATGGCGTCTGCAGGGAGCTCAAAGGTAGAGCTCTTGGTTTTCCTGTTGTAGAAGAACTTCCTCTTACAGCTTCTGCTGAATCCCATCGTCCATGGCTCGTTCACTGTCCTGACAATGTAGAGACCAGTGGGCACAAAGTGCCGGTTGTCCCGTCCTGTGTAGCTGAGCTTTGGGATGCCGCTGGAGCCCTTGATGATCTTCATCTCCAACCTGACAAAAATCTTCTCCATTTCCTCCAGCCTGTACACCTCCTTCACCCTGATGGGATTCATGTCAGGCCGACTAGTGGAAACAACAGCTTTCACAAATTTCTCAGCAAGCTGAATTCGCTGGTTGAAGTGCTGCTCCCGCACGTCGCTGCCATTCAGCACGAGGACATCGAGGATGTGGATGGCACTCATCTTCCGCTGGGCCTTCCCCTCCCCTTTCAGCTCATGGACAATCTCCACAAAGAGCAGAGTGTCCCGGGGCAGCTCTGTCTTCAGGTCCAGCTTGACCCAGCGGTATGACTGGCGGCCGTCCCACGTGTAGATCTGTGACTTCCCCAGGCTCAGGAGGAACTTCTGCTCACTGCCAGACACCATGCAGCGGTAGTCGAGCACTGGGCGGATCTTCTCCAAGGTTTTGGAGGTGAGCAGCGTGGGCTTATAGCTGAAGATGTCGACCTCAGTGCCCCAAATCAGCTCAAAGAACTTAGACTTCGGGTCCGAGGAGGAAGGAGCCACACGAGTCTGGTCCGGGATCCCCCAAAGACGGAGGCACTGTTTCCGGATCTCTGCCTGCCGAGGCTCACTCAGGGTGGTGTCTTGAACAAAGGCATAGATTTTGGCCAGAGCTTTGATCTGCAGACTACAGTAGCTTTCATTGGACCGTATCATGTAGTCAGTAAATTCATGGTCTGCCTTCATCACCTCCAAGGGAACCACAAGGTTGACATTGGAATCGGTGTTCCGCAGCTGGTTGAGTTTAATATTGACTGAGAAGAGGTACTCCCGCACGTCATCTATGCCCACCTTCAGGCCCTTGCACACCACATACCTCTCTGAGTTGGCAGGATGGCTGGTAATCGGCTTAAAGAGACATACTCGTTCAAAGCAGCAGTACAGCAGGTAGATGAGCCCCACGCTGAACGGTGTGAACAGGTCAAAGGTTTTACAGATGAAGTGGCCTCCTGTCCGGACAACAGAGAGCGCCATGAGAAACTGGCAGAGCAGCAGCTGCTTGCTGAGGATCTCTCCCAGGTTCTCCTGGCCCTCTATGGAGAAACTCCCATCGGCCATCAGAAAGTGGACACCCTTTCCATCTGTGTTATCCAGGACAAAATTTCGAAAAGCAGTGATGTTCTCTGGGCGGGTGACGTCTCCATCTCCATCGATCCCACCCTCGCCATAGTAAGGTTCAAAGAGTTCATGGGAGGCCGAGTAGAAGTCCTCCAGCTTAAAGTCATCCGGGCCCTTCAGAGTCATGCCAAAGCCCTTCGCATGCCACTTCCTCCTCCACAGCACATACTCCCAGAAGCCACCGGGGCCTGCACAGATGTCAGCAAAGTACAGAAGCTCCGCTTCCCGGTCCTTCACCAGTGGTTTCCCATAAGAGTCCCGTGGATTTGCAAAAATGCGATCAAACACAAAATCCATATTGGCCATCTTCCTTGTGCCCTGTTCAGGAAGAAGACTCCTTGGATCATCTCGTAGGGATTGGCCCGGGTCAGAGCTCGCCACATCTCCTCCCCATCCAGGACATCAAACACACTCTTACACTGCAGCACACTGTGAAGCAGGTCTTCCCCACAAAACTCTGTTTCATCTTCAATAATCATCTTCCTCTTTCCCACAACCATCCAATCGCTCATTTCCTCAGTGTCAGGAATCTCAGTGGTACATTCTGGGAACCATGACTGCTCACAGGCACTGGGCTCGGGCTCATCTCGCCAGTCCACATTCAACTCCTGTTCAAAGCCTTGCAACGTCAGACCCAAGCCTCTTCGACCTTTCTGATTAGAGGCCTCCACGATGTCCTTCCGACCCCGGCTGTATTTACCCAATCCTTCACCTTCCCTGAAGCCCATCTTGGCCATAAGCTTTTGGGAGACACTGTTGTACATGGAATAGCGGGAAGAAGTTCCCTCCACAAGAGAGTCTGCTTTGAATGCATCATCAGAGCTGCGTTGCTTCCCCTCAGTCTCACTGTCAGACCCACTGAAGCTTGTGGTAGATACTTTCGCTGCATGATTGATAGAGGAGGGAGGTTCATCATCAGATGTAGAGTTGAGGCTCATGGCAAACTCTGCAACTCTTTTCTCCTGTTTCTTGATAGGGGCAGTGCATTTTGGATCATTTCTCCTCTTCATTGTTAACGGAGGGGAGAGGGCAAGCTGCCAGGGAGCGGAGAGGGGGGTCAGGCCACCGCTGCCGCCGGCACTACGGGGCCCGGCCCTGCTGCTGCCAGAACCGCCAGCTCCTCCCTCACTTTCGTTTCCCCAGCCAGTCCCGGTGCACCGCCCAGCTTATTTCTGAGTTTTTAATGATTATTGTTATGCTTACCTGCTGCTGTCTTTGTCGCCTCGCTTGTGCAAACTGGGAAAGCATCAGCTGCCGATCGAGCAGTTCCATTCTTTGCTGCCTCTGAATGTCTACTGTGGCCCCCATCCCGACTCTGGCTTCAGTGGTAGGTTCTGAAGATGAGAAGATGGGCTCAAGCGTCCAAGAACAGAACTTTGCCATCCAGCTTGGGATGTACAGCACCTGATGAACTTGAAGTATTTTGCTGTTGTAGCAGATACCGGAAATCTAAAAGAAAAAAGTCCAACTGGATTGTTTAAGTGTAATCAAAATTTAAAGAACACATTTAACATAGAAATCAATAACCACAAAATACTTCAGATGGTATTTTTCTTCATTTTAGCAGTTAGGTGATAACCAAAACTCCTACCAAGTTGCAGAATAGCTGTACAAATCAACAAATAATTTAATTTGCTCAGTAAACAAGTTTGTTTAAAAAAAAAAAGTTAGAAGAGAGAGGTAGCAAAATCCTAACCATTCAACACTCATAGTACAGGTGAAATGTTTTTAAAACAATGTTTTCATTTTTTAAAAAGCCACAAAAGATCTGATTATCAAAATACTTTCACACTAACTCTGTGGTTACTCTTATTGGCATATAGCCATCAGAGAGAGATATTGGCAGAAAACAACTTTGACGATCAATGATGTGACCCAGCCATATAATAAACTTATCAGAAAATAAAGGCAATGTAAAATTTACATAGCGTTTTAATAAATTTTTCTGTTGATTTTTTAAAATCCTTGCCAATAGTTAGCAATTAACAATCCTATTTGCAAACAAGTCTATTTTCATCTTTAAGGTAATATATGTGGCAAAAGAAGTCTAAAGATGGTCTATGGTTTTCTAGGTGAAAATGAATGAGTATGGCTATTCTTCTGTAAAATCTTCAATTTTGTGAATTTGATTCTTAGATAAGAAGTTATTCACACCAAATTAGAGCATATTTGACAACTTTCTGTCTAGAGAAAAGCACACTTTGTTTTATTAATAAAATTAATTAATTAGGAAAGAATTTATTGAGCATCTGCAATACACCAGGCACTGTTCTAGATACTTAAGAATACAACAGAAGACAAGATCAAGGTCCAACTCTGAGAGAGGTAATAGTGGTCAATATGGAGAACAGACAGTAAACAAGCAAGCACACAAAGCAACTCCAAGCAAGCTCTATGAAGGAAATAAAAGAAAGTGACTTGGAGCAGGGACTTTCTTTAGGCATGGTGGTCAGGGAAGCTTCAGAGGAAGTGACACTTGAGTGGAGATCTTAAGGATAATGGGGTACCAGTCATTTGAAGAATCGGAAGAAGACCATTCAGTCAGCAAAACAATAAATGCAATGCAGGTATGAGTTTTGAAGAATCTATTAGAAATCTTAGTGGCAATATCAAATGAGTAGCTGAATATACAAATCTGGAACTCAAGAGAAAAATTAGCAGATAAAAATTTGGGAGTCACTGGTATTTGATGGCATTAAAAGCAATGAGAACCTATAACAGAAGAGAGAAGAGGCCCTGGCTCGGTGGCTCAGTTGGTTGGAGCATTGTGTATACACCAAAAGGTTGCAGGTTCGATTCCCAGTCAGGGCACATGCCTAGGTTGCAGGTTCGATCCCTGGTCGGGGTGTGTATGGGCGACACCCCATTAATGTTTCTCTCTCTTTCTTCCTCTCTCTCTCCAAATCAATAAAAACATATCCTCAGGTGATGATTGAAAAAAGAAAAAGAAGAGAGGACTTCACCTTGAATCCAGGGTACACCAATATTTTGGGGTTGAACAGAGTAGGAGAAGGCAATAAAGAAAATCGAGAAGGAACAGAAGGAAAACTAGGACAGGTTAGTATCAATGAAGCTAAGAGAACAGTGTTTTAAGATGGGAATACTAGTTATCTATGTTTAATGCAGCTCAGAGTTCAAGTGAGACAGAGAGGAAAAGGACCATAGCATTTGGCAAAATGGAAGCTTTGATGACCTTGTTAGAACACTTTTGATGCAGTGGTGGGAGCAGAGGACATACTGGAGTACACTAAAGAGTGACTGTAAAGGGCTTTTGGTCTCAAATCATATCCATGCCACTTATCTCAAAAAATGGCACAAAACAACAAAGAAATCGGAAACAGAAACAAACTTCACATTTGATGAAACTAAAAAGCGTCTGTAATCCTGACCCACATTAACAAAATGGAAAACACATTGTGTAATTGGAAACCACTTAGTACAGTGGTCGGCAAACTGCAGCTTGCGAGCCACATGCAGCTCTTTGGCCCCTTGAGTGTGGCTCTTCCTAAGCCTTAGGAGTACCCTAATTAAGTTAATAACAATGTACCTACCTATATAGTTTAAGTTTAAAAAATTTGGCTCTCAAAAGAAATTTCAATCATTGTACTGTTGATATTTGGCTCTGTTGACTAATGAGTTTGCCGACCACTGACTTAGTATATGGGAAGAAGGGTAAATCCAAATGCCAGCAAGAGGATTCCCTGGAGCTCAGACAAGGCTCAGGCATTAGAGGCACCAGGTACTGTGGAAAGCCAGAGCAAAGTGGAGGGTTTTTAACTCTGTAAGAAGCAACCCCAATTCCTCCCCATACTTAGCACAGCCCATATCTACCCTCTGTTTCCTCTACAGCAAGAAGATAAAACCTCTGAAGGGCATGAATCAAGGAGGCTCTGAGGAGGGTAGAGCAGGCCCAGAGGGGAGGTCTAGGGCTCTCCACAGGTGAATTCCATAAGCAACAACAACTATAAAATACTTAGGAATAAATCTAACAAAAATATGTAAGGCCTTCATAGAGAAAACTAAAAAAGTGTCTGAGACATTAAAAACACACAAAACAACCAAATTCTAGAAATAAATATAGAAATCACATCCATGAATGGGAAGGAGCAAAATTGTTAAAATACTAATTTTTACCAAATTGATATATAAATTCAATATAATTAAAAATAAAATATTAACAGGGTTTTTGTTGTTGTTATCAGAACTTAAATGCCAATCCTAAAATTCATATGGGATATTTAAGGATTAAATTCTTAAAAACATACTGCTGCGAGAAAGAAGCCACGCATAAAGATTGTATACACTATGATTCCCCTTCTGTAAATGAATGGATCTGAACTACACATCCAGTGGGAAAACCATGAAGCCAAGCATGAAGGTAACCACATGTCCCAGGAGAGCAGCCACGGGAGAGATGAGCCTTGGGGGCGGGAAGTTCTTTGATCCTGTGTGGGGTTATACAGTGTGTTCACTTTATAGTGATTTGTTTGGCTTCATGAGACTTGTAGTTTATGAACATTTTGGTATGGGTTACATACTACAATAAAAAGATTTAAAAATAAGGAATAAAGGATACAGAAAAGCCAAGGTAATTTTAAAGAAGCATAATAAGGCCTATTAGATTTCAAGATATGCTATAAAGTTTAAGTACTTAAAATAGTGTGGGCTCTTTGTAGAGCTACTCAAACAGGCCTAAAGGGCAAGAACACAGAAGCAGACTCTTAAGTACAGGGCACTTGGTATACAGCAGAAATGGGTAAACCAGAGGGAAAAGGATACATGAGCTACATGTAAGGATAAAGACAAACAAGGCTCCCTTCCTGACACCGTACATCTCAACTCCCAATGGATTAGGGACACAAATACAGTGTAATTTACAAAACTGTAAATGTTTCTGCACAAAATACAGGAGGAACATCTTTTTGGCAATGGGATGGGGAAGGATTTTTAAATAAAACACAGAAGGCACAAACTAAAAAAGAAAACATACTTTCATTTACTTTATAATTTAAAAGTTACAGTATGCCAAACATTACCATAAATGAAGTGAAAAGACAAGCAAGAGTCTGAGAAAAGGTACTTAGAATATTTGTAGTCTACAAAGGTAGTGTTCAGAACATATAACTCTGTTCATTTATAAGAAAAAGATAATCAACCCAATTTAAAAAGCAGACAAAATGGCAATTCCAGTAGAGGAAATTCAAGTGGCCAACAAATACATGAAAAGATGTTTGTTCTCAGCTGTTTTTAGGGAAATACAATATAAAATGAATAATGTTAAATATAACAATATACAAGATTTTTCAATTTTTGGCAAAAATTGAAAAATCGTGTATCAAGTTTTGGTGAGGATGAGAACTGAGAACTCACACAGTCCTCGGGGAAGGGGAGTGCCTCTGGAGAGCAACTTGACAACACAGTCCTCCCTCTGCTCCTGTAGGAGGACTGGGTCCACGACACTTGCAGATTGCAAAATCTGAGAATGTTCAAGTCCCATAGAAAAAATAGTGTAGGATTGGCACATAACCTATATTTGCATACAGGCCACGTTGGGTATGCCTACACGTCATTTCATTCTTGTGGATTCAGTGTAGTGCTCAACAATGTTTTGATTTTCAGAACATTCTAAGACCTACCTTTCTTTCTTTCTTCCTTCCTTCCCTGCCTCCTCCTCCTCCTTCTTCCTCTCTCTCTCTCTCTCTCTCTCTCTCTCTCTCTCTCTTTTTACTTATTTATATTTTTGGTCTGTGGTTGGTTGCATCTGCAGATGCAAAACCCATGGATACAGAGGGCTGAGGGCCAACTGCACCTAGAAGAGCTGGAAGTATGCTTTAGGGAATATTCAACTGCAATGCTATCTGTAACAGCTAAGAAATGGAAATGTGTCCCCAGTAGAGAAATGGCTAAACAGTGGTTTAGTCATCTAATGGAAGACTAAATAGGACTTAAAGTAAACTCAGTGTACATGTACTAATAAGTTTTTAGAAAGGTACCATCCTATATAATAAAAGGGTAATATGCAAATTGACCCTAACGGCAGAATAACCAGAACGACTGCTCAACCAGTCACTATGAGGCGCACTGACCACCTCTCGGTCCCTTTCCCTGGCTGGCAGGCTCCCATTGTCCGATGGTAAATGGGGAATCAGGGGTAAGTGGCGGGGAACACAGGCAGTGTCAGGCCAAGGCTCCCGCCCCACCAGTCGCACCACACACAGAGGGCGACTTGCGGCAGGGGGTGGGGGCAGGGGCGGGGCTGGCAAGCGGGTGGTAACGGCCAACCTCTTGGTTCCTCCCCCTGGCTAGCAGACTCTGATTGCCCGATGGTGAATAGGGAACTGGGGGTGGGTGGCAGCGGGGGGCGGGGCTGGCTTCGGGCAGCCAGGGAAGATGGCCCTGATCATAGGCCAGGCCTAGGGACCATACCTGCGCATGAATTTCATGTGCCG